GTTGCTTGTTGTGTGTGTGAGTGTGTGTATGTGATGTCCCCAACTATTTGATATTTGTTGTTGCTGCATAAAGTTATTAATGAAAACCCTAATGCCAAATGCACTAAACAAAGAAAAAATTACTTTTAAAAATGTTATATAATTTTCAAATAATTAACATTTCTTGCTCTGTCAGTGCAAGACGAATATACATACATACATATGTAGATACATATGTATGTACATACATAGATGTGCACATATGTATGGACATTCACACATTAGTGTCTCACATTTTGCTTTGTTTGATATTTTGTATTGTTTGTTCTGCCTGCTTTTGTAAAATGCATATTTTGAAAATCCTTGAATGCAAAGTTGTAGATTACATTACCCAAATTTTAAATCGATCGGACTAAATTTATAACACAAACTTTTCATTTGAAATAGTGAATAAATATTAAAACCCCAATAATTCAAGCTCCAACACAAATTTCGAAAATCTAAGTATGCAGTTTTGTTTGTATTCTTTAATTGATTTTAGAAACTAAGTTTTAAGTCGGCTAAAAACTGTAGATTTTTCATACAAACGTTGGAGCCTGTTTTCCCCCCTTTGGAGCTCGAGTTTTCCAAAAACCCCTTCTTAGTGGGCACCTAGACTATGAAAGGATACTTGAGTCCAAATTTCAGCTTCCTAGCCTTTACCGTTTGGGCTGTGCGTTGATCACCAATCAGTCAGTCAAGACAAACTGTTTTATATACAAGTATATAGATTATTGATCAGGAAGACAAGTCGAGTCGATATAGCCATGTCCGTCTGTCCGTCCGTCCGTCCGTCTGCCCACAGCTGTTGTTGATTTTTGGTTGACTGGAAATATGCTTACACAGACACAAATAGACGCGCATAGACATTCATACACTCACATAGACGCAATTGCTATGTAAATATGCAATTATACACCTTTACGTGAGTTCGAATACCAAGAGAGGTAAAATCGGTCCAAATTTTTTGAATTTACATAATTAATCTAAACATATGTACAGAGTATTTCAAAGTCGCGACTTTAGCTTTTTTACTTGTTTAATACAAAATTTTCTAATAAAAATTGCTTCCAAGTTATTTTTTGAGCCTGCTCACAGCCATATATTTCATGCAATATGACATTTTGTTTTTAATTTAAAATAATTTGTTAGGTCACAGGGTATTTAAGTGTCATGCTCGCACGACCTTAGCATTCCTTTCTTGTTTTAATTAACACACAGTTATGTGGTACTTTTTTGAAACACGAATTGCATCAAATACATACATATTTTATTTTTAACTTTCGTTTGATTCACAACTTTAGACTTAACTCAGCTGGATGCTGTGTGTGAATGCTAGTCATTTAAGTATACATTTAGTAATTTGCTCATTTAATAATGTAAAATCCTATGTAAAATAGGATATGGGCATTTCCACCGAAAGGTCCACCGAGACCAAAAAATTAAAAGTTATTGAATTAACTTTTTTTTGATCATATTCTTATAGAGGAACAATAGAATTTAAGTAATTTAAATTATAATTCAAATTTTTAATATCCCGTTTCGAGATATTTGAATGCAAAGGCCCGCAAGCGCAAATTTCCTCGATAAGATTTTGCTTATATTTCTTAGAGAGAAATATTTGTCATTGACTTTTGCTAGTTAAAATGTTCCTGGAATCACAAAGAGTCATAAAAGAATACATAAGACCACGCAATACAGATAACTGTAAATTTTGACTTTAAATTGTCATATATTTTGATGTCCCGTGCGACATCAAAAAACATCATTTGTCATCAGTGCGTCGAGAATAAAAGCAGAAAGCTTATCAAATATTGATCACAAATAGTAATTAACATAACAATAAATTAAAAAAAAAAATGATAAACAAGAGAGAACGCTACAGTCGAGCAAGCCCGACAGTGTAATACCCTGTACCCAGGTAAACTTCCGTCACTGAGTTATATGCGCCCATAGCAGCAGCAAAAAGAGGAAGAAGAAGAGCGAACTTGTTGCTGCAGTTTGTGGGGGTTGTACAGTAGAGAATTTGTTTCGCTAATAACTTTTCTCAGAATTGACCGAATTGGATAAAATTTTAAACAACAGTAGACAATTATATATAAATTATGTGTGCAAAGTTTGGTTGAGGTAGCATTTGAAATGTGGACGCTATTGACGAAATTCTGTAGCGGGGGAAGGGGGGGAAAATTAAAAAAAAAAAATAAACTCGTCCTTACTCGGACCTAGGAGAATCTGGATGCCAACTTTGGTTATTCTAGCTTTTATAGTTTCTGAGATCCTCGCGTTCATCCAGACGGACAGACGGACAGACGGACGGACAGACGGACGGACATGTCTTGATCGATTTCTCTCGTCATGCTGATTCAGAATATATATACTTTATGGGGTCGGAGATGCTTCCTTCTGAATGTTACATACTTTGCACAAACCTAATATACCCTTTTTACCCTACGGGTACAGGGTATAAAAATAAGAATAAGTGTGAAATTAATAAATTAATTTTTTTTTAAATGTTTTTTTCTGCATAAATACAAAATTTTAAATTATTTAAATGTACATAGATGAATAAAAATAGCAGCGAGAAAAAAATGCGTGCAGGCTCTGCAGAGAAAAAGCATTAGCATTTTTCATATATATTTTTGTAAAAAAGAAGAAAAAAAAAATATATATATCATATGGAAAAAATTTCCCGTGCGACATGCCCCGTGCGAATCCGCTTAAAATTTAATTGCAACAAAATGTACAAATAATTTTTAGGTAAAATCAAAACTATTTTTAAAAGATGCATAACCTCTTAAAACTAGTCACACTGACAAATTGCCTTAGGTTTCGCTGAAATCTGGGTTTAAACTGGTGGCCGCGAAAAATACTTCTGAATTTGTCCCGTGCGAGTACTGTGGTTTTTTGCAATTATCTGGGAAACGAAAAGTTGCCCAAAATCAACGTTAGCACCAATTATAGGGCTACTTAAGAGGTATAAGTTAACAAAAAAAAACAAAAAAAAAAACAAAAAAAATTTCATTTCGATTTTTATAGCCTGTACCCAAAGGGTGAAAGGCTATACTAGTTTTGTGCGAATGTAGCACACAGACAGGCAGACCCCACAAAGCATATATATTCTTGATCAGGATGACAAGCCGAGTCGATATAGCCATGTCCGTCCGTCCGTCTGTATGAGCGCAAGGATCTCAGAAGGTACAAGAACTGGAATGACCAAACTTGGTATCCAGGTTCCTAAGCCCTAGGCAGGTCAAGTTTATTTTTTTATTCTGATACAGGCTATTTTACTGTCGGGTTTGCTCGACTGTAGCGTTCACTCTTGTTTTTCACTTTAAATGTGTACGACTGTCATATGCAAAATATTATTGATGCAGATTGTTCATAAAAACTATAAGGTGTACATAACAATGATTTTTTATGAAGAAAAATGTCTTTGTTAGTGTTTTTAATCAAAACTCCTAGCAAAGCAAACAAGAGAGAACGCTACAGTCGAGCAAGACCGACAGTGTAATACCCTGTACCCAGGTAAACTTCCGTCACTGAGTTATATGCGCCCATAGCAGCAGCAAAAAGAGGAAGAAGAAGAGCGAACTTGTTGCTGCAGTTTGGGGAGGTTGTACTGGCGAGAATTTGTTTCGCTAATAACTTAGAATTGACCGAATTTGATAAAATTTTAAACAGTAGATAATTATATAGAAATTATGTGTGCAAAGTTTGGTTTAGGTAGCATTTGAAATGTGGACGCTATTAACGAAATTCTGTAGCGGGGGAAGGGGGGGAAAATTCCAAAAAATAAAATAAACTCGTCCTTACGTCCTTACGTCGGACCTAGGAGAATCTGGATGCCAACTTTGGTTATTCTAGCTTTTATAGTTTCTGAGATCCTTGCGTTCATCCAGACGGACAGACGGACGGACATGTCTAGATCGATTTCTCTCGTCATGCTGATTCAGAATATATATACTTTATGGGGTCGGAGATGCTTCCTTCTGCATGTTACATACTTTGCACAAACCTAATATACCCTTTTTACCCTACGGGTACAGGGTATAACAAGATTTGAATGAAACATCCCAAAACCGATTTCTGTGGTACCGAGAATTGGTTTTGAGGGGAAACGACTTTGAAATACTCTGTACATATGTGTAGAATAATTATAGAAATTAATACAAATGAAGAATATCACAACCAATGCATTTGTTTCCAATTAGTTGTCAACAACTATGTATACGAGTATGTGTAGAATAATTATAAAAATGTTCAAAAATTAACATAATTTAAATAGATGAACAAATTTTTAATAAAACACGTGAAATAGCTTAAGTCGGGTGTTTAGACATTGAAATACTCTGTATAACAAGAGAGAACGCTACAGTCGAGCAAGCCCGACAGTAAAATAGCCTGTACTCTCCACAAAAAAGGAAAATTAAAAAAAAAAAATTTAAAAAAAAATGAATTAATTAATTAAATTAAATAGACATGTTTTTGTTCAGTTTTAACAGCATACATTTACATCACGTACCTATTCGTGTTTATATGCGTGTATGTATGCAGCACAAAGTTGAACCAAAGCAGCAACAACAACAGCTGGTGGCTGCGCTGCCGGCAGAGCTGCAGGCAGCGCATGAGCAGCGATTTTATTTATGGCGATAACTTTCTTCACAATTGACCTATCATGATGAAACTTGGCACACGGACACATTAGTACTAGCTGGATGTACCTACCAAAATTAATTTCAAAATTCCAAGAATTACGGAATTTATAAACAAAAACACGAATTGCGGGGGAGTGGGTGTATCAGAATAAAAAATAAACTTGACCTGCCTAGGACTTAGGGAAAATCACAGCATTTGTAATATTATAAAAAAATGTTTGATCGATTACGTGTATACCTCTTTGCCATTCGAACTCACAACAGCCCATTTACATAGGACGCCCGACTTTAGCTTTTCACTTGTTTATTTAAATAATAAGTACTTACCATACCATCCTCATTTATAATGCAAAATTCTTTTTCCTCTGGCAAGATTTGATCTCCTAGTGTTATGCTTCCAAGGTCAGCTTGTATGAAAGGTAGAGATTTTTGGTGTGTTTTGTTGTTATAATATGATTGTAGCATGACATTTGACTCAAAATTTAATATATTGCATGCATCGGAAATGTTGCAGTCACTTCCAAAAGCTTTCTGTGACTTAACAATTTTTTCATCGGGCTCGTCTGGAAAAAAAAAGACTTCCACTGTCGCTTTTTTGGCAATATCATTTGATATTTGTGCTGTTAACGGTACATGATCTGCATCTTTTAATGCTTCTTTTATAAGCTTATTTACATGTTCCTGTGACTGGTCCTCATTTTTGTTTACTTGGCTTAATAAAAAGCTGCTGGAATCATTTTTGTTGTTTTTGCAATCATGAGCAGTTTCGTCCATGGGACTAAGGTCACTCTCATTGGCAACATATGAAATAAGTTGAGCTAACGCAGAAGCTGAGTCAAAACAAGTGCGTAGATGTACCTCATGAATTGAACAGCGTATATCGATTCGGGGTCTAGTAAGTGTTTTTTGCTCATTTAATCTCAACGAAATATTAAACAAGCCAATATCCAAAACTGGTATTAATGAACCAGTACTGATATGGAAATTAGATTTATTAGTACGGTGTTCATATGGACCCTGCAAAAAAAATTTAAAAAAAATTAAAATATTGAACTTTAAATTGGGTTATTAACAAGAATGTTTTTTTTTTAAGTGTTTTTATTTATCGATTCTTCCTTCTTGGAGCCTTACGATAAGTAGTCAAATCTTAATCTAATATAGTTATACTCTGCACATGAAATGTACAAAGTATATATATTCTTGATCAGCATGACGAGACGAGTCGATCTAGCCCTGTCTGTCTGTCTGTCCGTCCGTATGAACACCTGGATCTCAGAGACTATAAGAGATAGAGACACCAAATTTTCCACAAAGATGCCTTATGTGTGTATTCTATACGAGTTTGTTTTATTTTTTTGTTTTTCCCCTCCACTTCCCCCCTATGGAGGTTTTCCCGATTTTCCATTCGTATATATCTCGGAGACTATAAGACCTAGGAACACCAAATTTTAGTCCCAGATGCCTTATGTGAATACGCAGAAAATGTATATTTTGGAATTTCCCTCTCTCCCCCGCAAATCGTGATTTTCTCTGACTCCCGTAATTCTTAAAATTTCGAACTAAAATTTTGGAAATAACCCCAGTTGGTTATTATGTTTCCGTATGCCAAGTTTCACTATGATAGACCGATTTAACGAGAAGTTATAGCCATAAATATATTTGCTGCTGCAGCGCTGCTCAAGCGCTGCCCGCGGCTGTTGTTGATGCTGGTGCTTTGGTTGACTGCACACATGTTTACACATACACGAATAGATGCGCATAGGCATACATACACTCACACAGACGCAATTGCTATGTAAATGTGCAATTATAAACCCTTTACGTGAGTTCGAATGCCGAGAGAGGTAAAAACGATCAATTTTTTTTTTTATTTCTGAATTTTTTTTATTTTCTATAATTATTGTAAACATATGTACAGAGTATTTCAAAGTCGGGACACCCGAGTTTAGCTTTTTTACTTGTTTTTTAATTAATTACAATTAAATATTTGATTTATGGCCCTAACTGTTATTGCTGGGTTGGGAGGTCTCTTCGCCGGAGTCGTGTATGGCTAACCTGCCAATTTAAATTCTGCGCAAGTCTATTTGGATGGTACCGAAGCTTAAGCTGGTACTTTGCTTTCACCTTGGCGATTTCATCTTTAACAGATCCCACATTTAAATCTTCGCGGATATTATCACTTCTTATGTAACTGGGTGCCCCAGTGATGTTTCTCAGTATCCTCAATTGAGCTCTCTCGATTAACTCTAAATTACTAATGGAAGCGTTTCCCCATAATTCAGAGCCATATGTCCAAATTGGTTTGAGAACAGCATTGTACAAGAGTACTTTGTACTCCAGTTTTAGTCGTGAACGGACGTTTATCAGCCAATGTAGATTAATAGCTTTTAGTTTCAGTTGATCTCTCTTCGCTACGATGTGTCTGCGCCAAGTAATACCAAGGTATGGATACCAAGGTATTTTACATCGGTTTTTTGTGGAATAGTGATGTTGTTTAGCGACAATGGAGGACAGGTTTGTTTGTTTAGGGTGAAGGTGACATATTTGCACTTTTGCTCGTTTACATGTACTTATTCGCCAGTCTGCTAGCCATTCTTCTATGGCCACGAGGTGAGATGATAAGAGTTCTGTAGCTCTTGTTGGGCACTTGGAGCGACTTAGGATGGCAGTATCATCAGCAAATGTCGAAATTGTTGTATGGCACGGCAGGAGATTGATAGGTCTATATTATTATGGTTGAGACTTGTCCTTTCCGGCATTATGGATCATTGGGATGACAGATTTTCTCCATTGTTGAGGATAATAGCACCATTTCATCAGTTGTAACTTCTCCTGATTGGAATTCGATAGGCGTGGTAGCTTCAAGATGATTGGTTAGTGGGAGCACAAAGCAATTTGTTGCTGGATGTGGTTTGAAGACTTTTTCTAAATGAGCGGCAAATAGGTTTGCCTTCTCTTTGTTGCACCGAGACCACTTTCCTCTTTGTGTATGTAATGAGTATTCACTCTCCATTGGTGGACATACGTCTGATTTAGCTTTCCACAATGGGAATCGTTTGCTGTTTGGGCAGTTTTGCTCCATATAGTCCATTTGGGCTCGGTATTTCTCATCTTCTAGGGCTTTGCGTAGTAGATGGTTGGCTATTTTTAACCGCTCCTTTGAGTCAGGTGATCTTTACGCTTTCCACTCCCGCCGAAGCCTTCTCTTATTTCGTAGCAGCTTTTCAATATGCCTGAGAACACGACTGCTTTTGTAAAGTTTATAAGCTGTGATTTCTGGATTGGATTGTTATGCCGCCAGTGACATTACAGACACTAATGCTTCAACTAATGCTTCTATGTCATCTTTACAGTTAATGTTTGGGCAGCCATCAATATGGGAACTTCAAACTTCCTGTATTTAAGCCAATCTGTTTTTATAGAAGTAAGAAAGTGTGGGCACTCCGAGTACTTTGGGTGGTCATAAAGGCAAAGAAGGATTGGCGAGTGATCCGATGATAGATCTATTAAGTGCTCTAAATCTGAGTCTGTGGCACTCTTCTTGTAACAGCAAAATCAATCAGGTTTGGTTGCTTCTTTGGATCTGTGGGCCAATATGTAGGGCAGCCCGGAGAAATAAAGTCAAGCTTTTTTCGTGGTGTTATTATAGCGTTATATAGTTGTCTTCCTATCGGGTTGTTGAGCCAGGATCCCCAATGTGTGTGTTTGGCATTGTAGTCACCAGATGCTATGAAGCGGTCACCTAGTGGTCGAAGAAATGTGCAAATTCTGCCTCAGAAACGTAGAAGCGCGGTGGGCAGTATACTGCTTTGTATGTCGATATGAATTGTGGCCTGTAGATAAGTTGTAGCAAATGATGGCAACGGATAGTGCCTGATTGCGCATAATTTCGTGCATCCTTTGTTGTATTGCTACCATTGTATTGCTACCATTGTATTTGTTCAATCCCACTAGGCAATTCGGATGGATTTGCAGTGGTATGTTGGGTAGTAGTTTCTGGCCCCTGTTGCAATGTCTGACGATTCATTATTTCTGCAGTGGTTTGTTTAGAGACTGAGGCGTACGATTCGTTTGTGTTACTTAACGCCTTAGAAAAAGATACTCCTGGAATCGTACTTGATGGTATGTAACGCAAGTTTTGTGGGACTGGATTTCGAGCTGCGGATTTTTGTTGGCTTAGGCGACTTTTTAACTCTTTGTATACAGGGCAACATCTATAGTTGGCAGTGTGGTTTCTCCCACAGTTAGTACATTTCATGTACAGAGTATAAAAATGTGAGCGTCGACAGTCAGATGTTGCTGACAACTGTCTTGGAGGAGAAGATCCAAAAAATGAAATCTTTCGATGTTCTACGTCACCGACGAATTTTTTGGGAGTTTCAATTGTAGCCAAAACCACCGGAGTTTTCTGTGGCACCCCTGATTATCTCATTGACTGGAACTTTTGATTCGATTTCTTTGATAATCACTTGCAATTCGATAGTTATGTTCGTCATTGACTTGAACTTTTATTTTTTCTGTTTTTTTGGACGTGAAATATAATTGATTTTCGCCAATGTTATTAGTGTAAAAATTCGACTAGTCTTATTTTCGATATCTTACTGACTACATTTTATACTCGGCCAAACTGACGTTAGATCGACCTATTTGAATTTATATTTCAACGATTTCTTTTCCATCTATTTGCATCTACGGCTTAAGTCGTGCTTGTTCAAGAATGCCTCTGTATGGTAGCTGGGTCAGTTGACAGTCGTCCACGTCAGTTATCTCATGTCGACTCACTGTTTGGCTCCGGTGTGGTTTCTTTGTTACGAATAGCAACGAAGTCGCCGTCAGAATACTGTGCCGGTGGCCTATGATTTCGTGCATAACTAGCCTGATTCCTCTGTTGCGACCGGGTTATTTCACAACTAGCCTCCTGCCTCATCTCTGGTAGACTTCGGGGATTTTTTGATTGGAATTAGTCACTAAGTAATCCAGCTTGTTCCTCCACAATTGGACCCCTTTGGTCACATCCAAACAGCAGTCTACTAGGAGTTTTAAGAGTTTTAACGTGATAAAAAATCTTGTACCAATCAGACGGGTTTATGGGCTCAGACAGTTTCCTAAGCATAGGGCCCAATTCGCGACACACTCAACCTGCCCATTCGCCTGAGGGGCTCCAGTGGCTACCTTAATATGCTGAATACTTCGCTTTTTCAAAAACTCTTCAAAATCGAGGGATGTGAAACATGAACCTCGATCAGATATAATTCTTCTGGGTCGGCTATAGCATGCAAAGTACTTTTCCAAACAGGTATTTACTTCACGAGTCTTGGCCGAGTTTACTGGGTACAGCATTACAAATTGGTAAACGAATTAATAACGACCAGAATATGCATTCTTTTAGATTGGACGCACGGCAAAGGACCTAAATGGTCAATGTGAATTGAAGAAACATACACTGGTGCCTTTGGAATGCTATGCAAGGTTCTCTTATGAATACTTCTGGGGACAGAGTATAAGAATTGCGAATGTATGATTCCACCTTTACCTTCATCGACTGGAACCAATATATGGCTCTTAACTCCTCAATACATTTTCCTGACACTAAGTGGCCCAACTTCTTGTGGAACAAACGAATTATTTGTTCTTGCATAAAATTTGGTCAATCTAGTCAAAGTTCTTAACACTACCTTTCTCCAACTCTTTCCGAACAGCTATAACCTGACTATCTCGCATTTGCTCTATTCGCAAAAGCAATTCAACATATCCTGGGGCTGCACGACCAATCCAATAATATCCCTTGACACCATACTTTCATGTGTTTTAAATAATTTGGCTAAGGGATCGAACATCTGTTCCTCCTCACATAAAGTTACAACATTAGCCACAGTGTCATTACTTTCGGACTCTAACGGATTCACTTGCCTGCTGAGCGCATCAACGTGAGTCATTCCTGATGCCGTCCGATGTACAATGGAATAGCGGAAGCGCTTCGCTTCGAGCTCGGCCAAAGTTGTTCTGACATGTTGGTT